AGCCGACCTCCGAATCTCTTCACACAATTCTTTCCCTCGAAATGGAAGTAAGCTCAACAAGTAGGAATTCTACTTATATAAACGAAAAGTAGGAACAAACAGTTTCTTAATCCCCTCTGCCCCAATATGATGAAATATTCATATTCATATTGGCCAGGTTTCGACATATTTATATAGAAATATATTATACCATATCATATCATATCGTATTATACAAAATAATAAAATATAAATTTATAGAATATTGAATCTATAATGAACTAAGTGTAGAGTTACATCTAACAATTCCAATTAACCCCGGGATATTGCAGGCATTAAAGCTGTTTTCAGAGTGACATTTGCCCTATTCCTTCTAGTCTCATGTACATGTCTTTGTTGAATCTCTTTCCAGGTGGGCTGACCAAGACTGTCTGTCCGAATTACGCTCGGCCTCCGGGACCGGTGTTGCCGTACGATGAATCTCTCCGCCTCAAGCAGATTGACGCCAGTCAAGCTTCGTCGGCATCTGGTCTGTTAGCCTCCTCCAGTGCCGCAGACTCGCTATCCTCGTCTGTACCAACCTCATCCTCAGCTTCCTCAAACTCTGCGTCATCTTCGGACCATGCTCGCTTGTCGAAGCTGCGGTCAATTCGGACGGACACCATGCAGATGGATGAGTGCTGCGCCTGCGGTAGTGCCACGTACAGGCTGACCTTCCGTGGCGTCTGGAATCGTAAGACGCACCCACGCGACTGGCCCATCGGTCAATCGGGCCTTCTTCACTGGACCAACCTAATCGGTGCCAGTCACATGGCCGGCTTCAGTTTATACCGTCCGGGAGAGCCGGCCAGTGCTGGTGTCCAATCGGTCTGCATGTACGGCGACACAACAGTGCTGCGACAGCAACTGGCTCTTGTGTCTTCCAACTCGGACGGCATCAGCGGAGTCCCAACTGGCACCCAACGTGGTGCCTATGGCTTAACACCATTGCACAGGTGGGCTTCAGTTGGCCTCGACGAGAGTCAGGCGAACCGGCAATTTAGAAGCAGTTCTACCGCAAAACATACCGCCGCTATGAAGTGTGTTCATTCTATTTCGTTTAAGGTGACAAGGGGATTGACAATTGAATTTTCCCACAATGATATGATTAGACATGATGTTTTCATTAAATTTCACATAGAATATTCACCTGTGAAATTCAGCTACCAGTCCCCTTTACCACCCTAAACGAAATAGAATGAATTCAAATCATATTCACATATAACTGTGTGTGTGTGCGTGTATGTTTATAGGCTAACATATGTACGGGTATAAGGCAGAGTAAGCAATACCATCCTTAGAGGTTACCTAACCTTGTTTTCGCAACTTGGTCATATTGGCAGGAAGACTTAGAGGAACGTACCTAGTCCGGAGTTCCATTGTATGCATCATCATTTCCAAAGTTGAACCATGGACGTGGTACATTCCCAAACGTTTCGCCGGCATCGTCAGTGAGTATC